TGGCGACGTGATGCATGACGAGTCTTGGACCAGGTTGAAGTACGATCTTCACGAATTGCCATTCTCATTCGTTGGAGATTCGATGACCTGAAATGTGTTGGGAGGGGTCCCGATATTGACACTCCGACGCTCAAGTTAATATGTATTTGAGATAGTATGATTATTGTAAATTAGAACAATGCGTGCATGCATGTGATTTAAGTAAAAGAACTTGATTACTCTTATATATTTAAGGTAACTTGGCCTCCTAGTGAGTCCTAGTTATGAAAAAGATCCCCTCATATCTACTTTCTTAACTCACCACGTCTCTAGGATTAGAGCATGTTTGGATATAAAAAAATTTGGTGTTGTTAGATTTTTTGGTTTGGTTTGGTTAATTTTGAAAAATGTGGTATGATTAATTGTTAGTGAAAAATATTAAAATAATATTTAAAATAAAATAATTAAAATTGATTAGATGTAAAAGTAAGAGAGTGATCATTTGAAGTGATGGTTAGTTAAAATAATCTGGGTGGATGAATAGTGAATTAAGGTTGATGTGGTGTGTATGAATTATTGATTGATATTATTTAATTATATTGATGATAGTGGGGTTGAGTTAAAGTTGGTTAAAAGTGAGTTAAAAAAAGTATCTTAGTTAAAATGTTGATTTTCTTTTGAAAATTCTTATATTGAAATAGCTCCTTAGCAAAATACACTCTCCATCCATTAAGGAATCTTTTCACTCTTTCCATACTGACTCTTAGGTCCTCATGTCGTACCCACAAGCTTTTTACCTACCTGTCATAAGTTGTACTTAAGTCACAACCACGACCTCCACCTTCACAACCTACGCGTCCTGAGGACCCATATCCGAGCTTCTTAGGTTCTTCGACCTCTGAGCTATTCGAACTGACCAACCTGTATCGTGGGCTGCCTAAGCGAGCTCCTTGATAGGTATATGTATTGAAGAAGGATGACTTCCCTTGAATTGGCCACAACCGATCTGACAACTCTATCCAATTTATCAAGCTATTTTGAGTGCTATATCATAGTACAATTAATTTATTTATTTTATTTGAATGTAACTATAATCATTATTTTTGTCGAGTATCATCTATAAACTTCTTTAATCATTGGCACAGTTTCAATGAATTATGGTTATCTCGCTCCATATAGTCTTATTAGTTTTTGTGCAGTCTAGAAGCACATGAAATTAGGTTATATATATATATGGATCGACTCAAATTTACTTATCACAAAAATGTACACAAACTGTCCAAGGGTAAATACTTTAATTAACTATAAATTTTCTCCCTGGG